AGCCAAAGATGTTAGAATTGTGTCGATGTCCCAATATTTCTGGACCTGACTGTATAAAACCCTAAATGACTTGGGACCAGGATATCTTCACCTGTTGCACATAAAATCTGTCCCTCCACACAAGTGTAGAGTGCATCACACAGATGCTTGATGGGAGGAATCATCTGGAGGCTGAGTCGTGGCAACTGGACTGAAGAAGCTGCTTGGGCAAGCAGCGAAACGTATCAAACCAAATGAAAAGTCCAGTTGCCACGACTCAATCTCCAGATGATTCCACCTGGGTGACTCAGAATCTTCATCAACATATTATGGGAGGAAGTATGACAGTGGGCATTCTCAGTAGGAGCTCCCCTCCTTTGGAACAGCTTGTCCCCAGAGGTGAGAGTAGCTCCTTCCCACATGATTTTCTGGAAGATTATTAAAACCAGATTGTTCTAGAAGGCTTTTAGGGAACAGAATAGTCTGTTGTCTGAGTACATTGTAGCACTACCTATTGTATTCACTGTGTGGTGTTCATTATATTACTGTATATACAGTATTGTAACTGATAATAAAACTTCAAAGATGCCTCTAGAAAGATGAGCACTTGATTTAATAACTGCTGAATAAATATACAACAATACTACCATGAAGGTGGGGAGACTAAAGGTTGAGAACTCCACTCTAATTAACCCAATTTAGGCTGGAGGGATTTCTTGACAGTAAGAGCTGTTAAGCAGTGAAACAATCTTCCTGGTACAAGGGGGGGACTCTCCCTTAGGACTGAATGCCACCTGGCAGGGATGGTGTAACGGAGGTCCGGGATTGTGGGAACTAACCTGTTTTTATGTGTGTTTCCTTGTCTAAATTAGTAGATAGAGAAACTTCTTGAATCCGCTTTGAAGTGATGGGAACGAGGTTTTTATCACCAGGGAGAACGAAGACAAGCTTTAGATGTTAGTGAGCTGTAGATGTTAGTGAGCTGTAAATGTTGTAACCAGATAAGATCTTGTGGAGAAACCCCAGTTGTATGTTGATTTGTAACTATTGAAACCTTTGTTAATTAAAATCAAAGCAGTACCCTTAATTGTTGTCACCTGTGAAGAGGGGTGGAGGCTAGCCTGCAAAGGGTACTTAAGATAAGCCCTGAAGCCATAGAAAGAGGTTGGAGGGAGCTTTGGAAGAAGACATCGGCCTTGTATCTTTGTTGATCTGCGGAATCCACTTTCCTCAAGAAAGCTGCAAATCTCAAGCCTCGATCTCATTTGTGCCAGGGAGAATGGCTCGCTTGGAAGGCTACTTCACGTGAGGCTGCTCAGGCGGAAAAGGGACTTATTTGTCTGCTTTTTACTTCTATGGACTGCTTGCTTCCATTGAGTAAGTTTTAATTTGCAGCTTAAAATATTTTTGTATTCAATCTTTTCTTTTTGAGCAGTGAGTAAAAGAGCCTCATTTTGGAAAGCATTTACTTGTTTCTTGAGCTGTTTTTGGCATTGCACACAACCAGTATTGGAAAGGACCCAGAAAGAGATGTACCAGCCCCGGGGGCGGTTGTCACAGATGGTTTAATGGATTCCTTCAGTGAGATTAAACTAGACAACCAGTAAGATCCCTCCAACTCATCCTTTGTAGAAATACAAAATATTTGTATTTACAGTGACTACAACAGGTGGTGCTGCAATGTACTCAGACAACAGACTATTCTATTCTGTTCCCTAAAAGCCTTCTAGAACAATCTGGTTTTAATGCTGTAATTCATTTAGTTTTCTGAGAAAAAACAAGTAATAATAATTAGAGGAAGCAAGTCTTACATACGAAGGATGATATTTTGCCTACACTAGTATTTCACATCATTGAGTAGACAAACTAGAACCCGTTTGTGTTATGACATACCGTTCAACTCTGGAAATAGTTCCTGAATCCCAATATCCAGTAGGACATACGTTAACTAAAAATAAAATGCAAAGAAAAGTTACAATTCTGAACTTTTTAACACTTTCTTAGCATGGAAAGGTCTGCATAAACTTAGCAGCTCAAAGAATTATCATCGATTAGATAGGGAGAATCTTCAAAAATTAGCTAAAAAGTATTCTCATTTTTGATAACTGCAACATTTTAAAAAGATGCAGTAAGCTATTAACCAGTAATCACAATAAATTAATAAATTTAAGAATTTCCAAAGTAACTCTCTGCCAAAGTCCACTTCCCCACAAAGGGAAATGTGTCGGAGGCCCAATGACAGCAACATGGAGTTCAGAACTAGTATGACAGCTGCCCATCCATCCATACTCTCTATATCCATCCTGCTCTATGTCCATTCTTGCCTTCTCCTTTTGAAGTCTCTCTCCTGAGTCTTTTCTTTCTTATTTTCTGCCTTCTCTAACACAGTGTTTCTCAATCTTGGGATCTTTAAGATGTGTGGACTTCAACTCCCAGAATTCCCCAGCTAGAATTCTGGGAGTTGAAGTCCACACATCTTAAAGTTCCCAAGGTTGAGAAACAGTGCTTTAACAGTTACCAGTTGTCCTCTGAGCATGTTTTGCCCATTATCGCTTTATCACCTCCTACAGTTCTCCATTCCTGATCCATATCTTTGGCTTTTTTCTGTCTGGTTCCATCTTGTGCCCATCTCCTCCTTTTCCATCTCCTCTCAGCAAGTTATACTGCCTAGATTCCCCCATTTCTTCCTCCATGTCTCCCCAGGCTTTCCATTTCATTACATTTTTCCTCTCCCTTCGCTCTGATACAAACATTACCTTCATACAAATGTAAAGCAGATCTGCCATGGCCAACAAAGACAGGCACCCTGTGGGCCTCATCCAGTCTCTTAGTCAAGAAATGCCAAGTGATTTGGCCCAGCTTAATAAAACCTAACTTAGCCTATTAACTTCCATTTGCTATTCCAGAGTGCTTAATTCTTTGACCAATGTTACTGTTATTAATTGCAGAAACACAATACAGCTATGCTAATTAATTGTGCTGCTCTCTCACTCATCTGTTATACAGAAACATTATTTGGAAATACACTCCTAGAAACTTTGAAAATTACTCCTTTACATTTTGTTTTGCATACTAGTTCTTAATGTAAGACAGTTGTGCATGTACTTGGAATGATGCACAGTATTTCAAAACTGTAAACTAGAACTCGGAAAAATTCTACCTGGAAATACAATAGGTGTTTGGTGTGTTTAATAGGACCCACCTGTTTGTTAAGTACTGGCTGTTGCAATCCATCAAACAGAAGTCTTATGCCTTCATATTTGGCATCTTCCCCAATACATTTACCTATTAGATCTGGAAAACAAACAAACAAACACCAAGGCATAAATAAGTCAATTCAATTCAGCCAGATCCTGAAAGCTTTGCCAACCAAAACATTTATTCTACAAAAGGATAACTTTTAGTGCCAATTAAATGAACAGCTGATTTGTATAAAACATTTTAGCAGGAACATGTCAAATGCACAATGGGCAGCCAGTACATCTTTTACCTTATAGAACCTTCTGGTTAACTGCAATAACCAGTTGTGCCCTTTCCTTGATCAGGGAGCCCTTCAGACAATCACTCATGCCCTGGTCACCCCACGATTGGATTATTGCAATGTCCTCTACATGGGGCTACCCTTGAAGACTACCTGGAAGCTACAGCTGGTTCAAAATACAGCTGTGTGAACAATAACAGGCACCTCTCAGTGTGCCCATGTGTCATCACTGCAATGCGAGCTGCATTGGCTGCCTGTTGGCTTCTGAGTGCAATTCAAGGTGCTGGTTATTACCTCTAAAGCCCTGCATGACATAGGGCCTGAGGGACCACTTGTCTCCAACTGTTTCTGCCTGCCCAGTGCCTTCCAGCAGAGTGGGTGTGCTCCAGGTCCCCTCCATTAAACATTGTCATCTTGTGGGACCTAGGAAATGTGCCTTCTCTGTTGCGGCTGCCACCCTCTGAAACAGCCTCCCCCCAGCGATAAGGACAGCAACCTCTCTCCTGGGGCTCCAGAAAGCCTTGAAAATCTGGCTTTGGTCCCAGGCCTGGGGTTGATGTTTGTTATTTGTTCAATGGCCCTAATTTTGTTTTGTTGATTTTGCTGTCCAGTAGATTATTTTAGGCTGGGCTGTCTGTGTGATTCAGTGTTTTAGCTGTTTTTATGTTTTCCCTAGTTTTGTATGCCACCTAGAGTCCACTGGAGTTGGGTGGCCAATAAATTTAAGATGATGATGATGATGATGATGATGATGATGATGATGATGA